TCAGGTCTAGGCCTATTCGTTTGAGTGTTTGACCTTGGTTTTTGTTTATGGTTATTGCATGAGCAGTTCTTAGAAGAAACTGTACAGGCGTGAAGTTAATGTCATTTCTTCCGACCTGGGCAGGGAAGTTTTTCCTTGGGATTAAAACAATGGGATGGGGCAAGTCTTCGGTAAGAAGTTCAGCTTGAATAACACGGCTGTTAGGTGACACTGCTTTCAAAATGCATATTTGCCCGTTGACTAAGCCTTTATAGCGAGGCCGGTCGACTTGAGTTTTAATTCATGGGCAGGAACACCCGACACATTTAGTTGATTTAGGTGTTCAGGGGCAGCGAAAGCTGTGGACCCGGAATGTTCATCTTTCATGAGGGAATCAGAGCTGTAAAATGACACCGATTGTCCTGGTCGTTCGTCTGATACTCTTTCGTTTGAACGATCAATGGCGTGGTTTGTTGTGGCCAAAATTGCACGGTCGTTCCACGTGGTCGCATCTTCGGACATGTCAAGGTAGACGAAGTGAACTAACTCGTTCAAGTCGGTTGTGTATTGCAGTTGGAAATCATCGGCGGAGTTTGTTGAAATATTATTCAAAGGGATGAGGTTATGCCCATCAGGAACGGTGGTAGTAGTCGGCAACGTGTCTTCTCCGACACTTCGGACGAAGGATGCGTATGCAGGATCGTCTTTGTCTCGCTGAGATTTTGTGAGTCTTAGGCGAGAGATGTTGTTCCATAGATGGCTGGATATGACAGCAGCATCAACGGTATCTGTAGGAGATCCAAACTTTACAATGGTCCAGTTTGTCTCCAGTCGCCAGAAAACAGAATTGTGTTGCCACCAAACATTAAGCCATTTCGCATCAGGTCGTTCAGTGCTCTGTCGAGAGCCTCCACACAGTACCGATACGTCATCGGAAGTTCATCCCATATGATGAGGTCACTTTTTCGTATCAATTCAGCTCGTTGAGTTTGGGCGCTTTTATTGCACACGCATGAAGGAGACATCTTCTCGTCCATTGGAAGTTTGAACATCGAGTGTGCTGTCCATCCACCCGGAAGCTGAAGAGCCGCAATCCCTGTGGAGGCGACAATCAAAACCGTTTTCCCTTCTCCTCTCAGTTTTGCGGCAAGACATTTTTCTGTGAATGTTTTGCCTGTCCCTGCTGGTGCATCAATCATGAAAGGTTGCCCTTGTTCACTACTGTTGACAGAGTCGATTACGGTTTTGTACACGTGATGTTGTTCAGCAGTAAGATTTTTCTCATGAACGTGAGCGTAGTCCTTACACGTGTTAATGTCAAATGAGTCTCTGATTCTTTCATACTCTGTTGTCGAGTGCCGAGCTGCAGGAAGGTTTACTTGCTCGTTTGTTTTCCCGTGCAACTGAAGCTTCAAATCAATTTCGCTAAGGGCTTCTTGTATGGACTCTTCTTGTGTCATGATGAGAGACACGAACAGTGCTCAAAGATGGCTTGCAACCTGGAAAGAGGCAGCCTCTTCGATGGAATTGGTGTATTCTTCGTCACCAGTAACTAATCCTCTAGCTCTAGCGGCGTCATGGAAATTCGCATGTTGAAAGGGTGATGAACCTGGTTGAGGCACTAGGAGGAGGTCGGTGAAAGATCTACCCGGAATGGTGTGCAATGATAGCTGTAGGTAGAATATGTCTCCAATAGCCGGACTTTGGAAGCCGATGCGACACATATGCTGGTTAGACTATGCTCAGTTCTGAGCGATTTTATTTTGCCAAAGTAGTCTAAGAACTTGCCGGGATGTGCGGAGGTTGGCTTTGGTTGGTCTTTTTTCTACAAGTCTACCAGGGTTAGCGGGGTGAAGATGGCGTTCGACGGGCGTTAATAATATATCATCAGGGGAGAGGAAGAGTTCTCAGCAATTTCAAGGCGCATTTCAGGCGTGGCATCATCGGGATAAGTGATATATTGTTCACCTTCCAAGTGAGCGTGCACATTAGTTCCCGCTGGAAATCTGCTGACCATTTGAAATCCGAGGAGTCTCCACGTGGCTTCGGCTTGTGGACATTGGCCGTGGTAGTCACAGTGTAGGAAGGTTCTACGGAGATCTTGGGGACTCCGTGTGTGAAGATATCACAGGGGCCATACCCTGTGTGTGAGGATTGTGTGGACTCTCCGTCTTGTGTTCCACTCCTCCTATCTTGTGATCGATGATATAATACAAGTGAAGAAACAAACATCACCAGCCCCTTGGGGGAAAGGAGTCCTGGTGGCTCGAGGACAACTCCAACTGTCCATAATAAAATTTTATTAAGTTAGTTGGCAGAGGATCGAAGCTCCTCGTGGTGGATTTCTGGAAGCAGTGACAGTTACGCCGATACGACAACAAGCCGTCGAACGAGGACGGGCTTGGTGTGGCGAACACGACGAGACGTTACGAGGACGGGCTTGGTCGAACAGTACTGACTTGCTGGAGCCACACTTGGGCAGCGCTAGGGCGCGATGCCTGCTGGGACGAGATCTCAGGATGCGGTGAGCAATGCGCAGCTCGTGTTGGGTGGAAATGGCCCGACGCCGCCGGAGTATCAACGTCCGTTTTCGCAGAAG